TGCAGTGTAGGTTAATACAGCCCGATAATGTGGAGAATATGACTCATTGCTCAGTTAATTTAGGGAAAACTTGCATAAATGTCTTTAGTAGTTTGCTGTAGTCAATTTGGTTTTGTTCCTTATTCCCACCAAGTGTCCATTCGCCGTACACGTACTCTCTGCTTATAGTGGTATTCTTTCAGGTGTTTTTTCAAAGCATTTGGAATGGGAAGCATGTTAATGCCATCATAGGTGGTGCAGCTGCTGATGACCGCTCGGCAGATGTGCTGTAGGCTGAAGGGCTGTGTGCGGTGTATGGGGTTGGACAGCAAAGGCTCGAAGAACATACAAGAGTTGGGGTCCTTGTAGTGTTCCAGCAACCCTGTAACTGTGGGAGCATGGAAGACACTGGGGTCATGCACATCAAAGCTAAAATTGTGGTTCCACTGCTCAATGCGAGCATGCAATGAACGGCCATAGCGGCGGAAACTGACAGAGAAGAGGTAGTCTTCCTGGGCAGAGTCACGCAACAGGAAGGTGCCTTCAGGCTTTCCCTCCAGCAGTGTCTCTGCCTCATAGCGGTCCATGACTCCCCAGTAACATGGGAGGTTGGTGATCTGCAGCAGGTCAGGAACCAAACAGTGAATGTAATCAATCTGAGTGTGAATGCGGTAGCCATCATAAGATTTGTAATGCTCAGTTTGAGGAGGTATGCTTCTAGAGGACATGTTGGTCGCTGCAACATCTGGGTCAAGACTGTCGGAGATATTATCACAGGTGTGCACAGAGGCCGAGGCCACTACCTCATCCAGAGTGTCCAAACAGCTCTGTAGTAGGAGCTGGTGCTGCTGCTGTCTTTGGAGAAGAAGCTGCTGCTGATGAACAGAGGCTCGGTCAGCCCCAGCTAACTCATTCATACCATGAGCCAGCTTAGGGCCATGTTTGTAGAGAGGGTTAATTTGGGCCGTCACCTCAAATGTGTGGATCTCAGCATTGGGTGGTGGCTCAACACCTTGCTCAATGCTGATGCGCCTGCGCTCTCGCAGCCTGTCATCTACATCTTCCACCACAGCAGCCATAGCTGAAGTCGGGGCACTGCACACAACTGCAGAATCAAGCATGGGAGGCTGGGTAATGGGGGCTGTGTGTTGCTTAATGAGATACCACTTCTGAGCCAGCTCGGACCCTACAGGGAAAGGGCAGTCATCCAGCATCAGCTCACTGAGATGGATCTTGCGCCTTGAGGAGGCACAGGCTGTTGATGATGAAAAAGCCTGTAGAGGTGGCGCCGGTGCTGCTGCACTGTGCGTCTTTATTGGGAAACATTGCCCCATTGCATCCTGGATTTTTTGCCGGAGAGTGCGACTGCTGCTCGACCCTCTGCCATCCCCTTCACTGGTTGCAGGTAACTCGCTGACTGAGCTGGCTGTTCCCAGTGCACGCTTAGTTATTACCCGTTCCTGTCCTAGTAATGAGGTGGCGACTTCCATACCCTGCCATCTCCTGCTCTCCTTCAGAGGAGAAGAGGAAGATTGGTCCCTGGTCTCGGAATCACTCAACAGCTCACCATACTCACAACCATCACTGACAGGCCGTTCAGCTACTGGTGCATGGGAGGCAAGGCCTTTTTTCTTCCCTTTTCCACCTTTCTGATCACCGCCTGCATCTCGTCTCTCCTCCGACCGGCTCTGTCTCACCTTAGGACAGGCCCCCCTCTCTCTATCTTTCCCTCGGTTTCCTGACTCTTTTGGTAAAGACATGGTGGATTATTTGGTGAAATGGCAACAGCTGCTCCACTCCAGACAGCTGCCAAAGGCTGACTTGTAATTGCAGTTAGCTTTTAATCCACATCCTCTGTTTGAGCAGTCATTATCATTACACATGCACTGTAGCCACAGTGACTTTAATCAACCTGAAAAACAAAAGGAGAATTAATAACCAACACAGCAGCTTACATTTTAGCTTTGTTTTCATCAGAACTGTAATCGGACATTTTTACCCCTGGAACGTTTCCAAAACACACAATTGTCAAAATGGCCAGAATCAGGTCCTGTATGTAGAAGCTATGGCTACCAGAAAGAAAAAGTGCTTGATTAGGCTGCTGGTTAACATTTTAAACAACCAACTCCCTGTAAAAAGTCACATTAGCTATGATACTATTCACACTGACTGCTGACTATATCAAGCATTTAACATTAAAGTGACGCGAGATTCAGTGTTATGACTAAATTGCAGACGTCAAGTTGCTAGAGAGCAGCTAGCTATTTTTCATAGTTAATAGAGAACTACTGCGCTAATCCTCAAAAAAGTCTTCTCTGGATGTCAGCTCAGTTGTTGTGCCAACCCTACATTCTCTTGTATTGACCTAATAAGGATCTTGGATGTAGCTCAGTTCTCCCTCAAACGTTATTCGAATCACATTATAGAGAAAGTGGATGATCGATTAATGTTACGTTAAAATACAATTTCTTGACTACTTCAAACACATCTTGAGTTGGTTAGGGTCAAACAACTGCGATGTGTTAAACTCTGCAGGTAAAATGCCAATTCAAACATTCCTTTATAATGAATCAAAAGCAGTATCATTAATATAAGCTCTCAAGCTATTGTCGTTAGCAAGCAGCTGTTTAGTGTCGGTAGGCTAAGTTAGCATGGCAGCTAACTGCTAGCTATCTGCTAACTTGAGTACTCTAGGTTACTACAGAAGCAAAGGTTAAGTAGTATTTATAGCCACGTAGATACAATTTTCTCAAAACACCACACTTTGTGAACATACCTTAACTATTGTTATCAGGTTTCCCGACAAAAGAGCTCGAGTGTCTTCATAGATAAACTCATGACGTGAATTAAAAGGCGGCTCGGTCACATCAGCTAAATAAATGACCTGCTAAAGCCAAGCAACCCGGAAGTAAAAAGTAATTGGAGTAATTTCTTAGGTGTTGTCGGAACACAAAGGGCAATACAAATGTGAGCTGCTAAAAGTCGAGCCAATCTAAACAGACGCAAAACACAAGTTGTAAAAGAACTGAACCTCTTTATTTGGACTGTCAATGATCCGACAGATGCTGCACTTCAGACCATTAACATACGAGTGACAGTAAAAAAGTAGAGTGAAAGCATGGGATGCAAAAGGTTAACAAAATATTAGAAAATATATGGGGAGTCATCATAATTAAATATTAGTCGTACAAGACAAATATATGAAATGTAGCCTACAGCTGGCTGCATTAATTCGATTATTAAGTCTGTCAGGGACATTAACAGGATCTAAGGACCACTTGGTAGAAGTCTCCATAAGACAGAGGCTCTGTACCTCCTAGTGGTGCTTGGTATGTGAAAATACACAAGGCTGTACTTATTAAGTGCATTTTCCCAACTCATTTCATGCATCACTGGAATGTAAACATAGAGTAAACATTTTCCTTGGCCTGGTATTAGTGTTTAGTTTACTCGTAATAACATCATTTGTGGCTCAGAAAAGCATTGTCACCCCCTGCTGCATCTTCACCATGTACAGACACATGCAGAAATCTGCTGCATTGTACCTGTATATTTGCAGCAATATGTAAGCTGTCTACATCTACAGAGGCTATGAAAAGGATAATCTGAGCCATTTGTAACATAACACAGTTAATATACTCTATAGTGAACAGGTAAAAATGAGACAGCGAAGTCCTAATGCTGTCAGCATAGCTAACTCACCAAAGTCCTTTGCGGTCATGAATGTAATGTTTTTTCTAAGTTAGATCTATCCAAGAGCCTGCTCTGAAGAAATCCATCTGAAGACCATTAAATCCACTTATGGAGGATGCTGGTGCTGTGCACTTCAGCCACCAGATGAACAGTGTATTAGGACACAAGAGCTAACATTTCAATCACAAGGCAAGGAAAGCTATCCTTCCTTGTCAATGTAAAAAAAAAAATAAAAAAAAATAAAAAAATTG